CCCCAAACCCCACCCCCTACCCCCAAATATAATCTACTAGAAAGACTCTTAAGATAGACTGACACAGTGACTGCAGCAGTAGGCTCAAGTATGTCAGAGATGATGAGGATGGCACAAGAGAGCTCAGGGTTCAGATCTTTTGTTCAAAGAAAGGGTCAGTATGAGTTGTACTTGAATTGACGGTACTTAACAACAACCGCAAAGAAGCCAGTGCCATTTTGAATCTGACACTGGGAAAACCATGGATACAGTCAGTGTGTGAGAACTCACATACGACTTTTCTGGCAAAGCTAAAAGTCCTCTAATGCTTCTGAAAAAGCAATTTCCAACTTTATTTGGAAAATAAAGAGACTTCAAAAAAGCAAAGCTGTACTGAAAAAGTAGGAGACATCACATTCCTTCATCTCAAAACCTACTATACAGTTGTCCTAATAAAAAAAAAAATAGCATCATAATGATACAGCAACAGCTTCATGGATCAATGGAATAAAGTCAAGAACCCAGGAATCAATCCATCCACCTCTGGTCAACTTACCCTTGACAAGGAGACAAAACCCATTAAGTGGAGAAACAATTGACAAAATTGTTATGTGCCTTCTTAGCAACCTTATGTACAATAGCTCTGAACCCCACCCTATCCTGAGCCATTCTCTCTGTCTCTGACACACCTGCCCCCAAATACTAACTACCAAATACTACCCCAGTTGCTGAGTCAATCCATCTCATCCAGGGTCATCCTCTCCTGCACTGTCCCTCCACCTTCCCAAGCATGGTGTCCTTCTTCAAGGACTAGCCCCTCCTAACAGCATGTTCAAAGTATATGAGACTGAGTTTCACCATCCTAGCCTCCAAGGAGCAACCTGATTTTTATTTCACTTTCTCCAGGACTGTTTGTTCTCTACTCTTCTCCAACACCATAATTCAAAGGCATCAGTTCTTCTGTCATCCTTAGTCATTGTCCAACTTGCAGGTACATAGCAAGTAATTGAGGAGACCACAACTTGGAGAAGACACACCTTAGTCTTTAAACTAATATCACTGCTCTTTAGTGCTCTGGAGAGGTCTCTGACAGCAGATTTTCCAAGAGTGACTCATCTTTTAATTTCTTTTTGTTTGTATTTCTTGGGTTGTTGTTTTGGTTTGGGGTTTTTTTAATGCAAACGTATACCATCAAATCAGATCTGACTGGCACAGGAGGAGATTGCCCCTCCTTCTCTAGCAGAACATCTGGTGGATTCACACTGCACACCTTCAGGATTGCAGTGCAGCTTCTTGCCACTAGGCCACCAGAGCTCCCTTGTCTTTTAGTTTCTTGACTGCTCATATTGATTGATGTAAGATGAAATCATTTGACAACTTCAGCCTTTTCTCCACTGGCCTGGTGATGAGGGTTTTTGTTTTCTTGATGGATTCACATGTTATCCATATTGAAGGCTGTAGTTTTTTATCTACAGCAAAAGTATCAAATCCTCTTCACTTACAGCTAGCAACATTGTGTCATCTACATAAGACAGGTTGTTGATGAGTCTTACTTCAATCTTGATGCCTCATTCTTCAAGTCTGGCTTCATGTGTAATTTGTTCAGCATAAAGATTGAACAGGTTACAATCCTTCAGAAAGTATATAGCCCTGATGCACACTTTTCTTGATTTTAAACCATGCAGTGTTGTCTTGCTCTGCTAAAACAACAGCTTCTTGGTCGAGGTCTAGGTTTCACATGCACACAAGCAAGTGTCCTGGGATTTCTCTTCTTCCCAATGTTAGCCACAATTTGTTGTGACCCACACAAATCCTTTGCATATTCAATAGAACACAAATAGACATCCTTCTGGTGGTCTCTACTTTCCACCAAGATCCATCTGACATCAGCAGTGACATCCCTGATACCATGACCTCTTTGAAATCCAGCTTGAATTTCTGGCATGTCTCTATTAATGTACTGTTCTGGCCAATTTTTAATAATCTTCAGCAAGATTTTGCTTGCATGTGATACTATTGGTATTGTTCTATAATTTCCACATTCTATCATTTTTCTTGGAAATGAGAATACGGATCTCTTCCATTCTATTGGTCAGGAAGCTGCCTTCCAGACTTCTTGGATCAGCCTGGTGTTTGCATCCAGGGATGCATCTGTTTGTTGAAATATGTCGATTGATATCCCATCAGTTCCTGAGGCCTTATTTTTTGCCAATTCCTTCAGGGCAGCTTGAACTTATTTCTTTATTACCATTGGTTCTTAATCATATGCTCCTTCCTGAAATGGTTCTGTGTCAGCCAATTCATTTTGGTACTGTTACTCTGTGTGTAGAGTAGTAAATTAATGGATAGACAAAGCTTTATTGGAAGGGAGGAAGAGAAGGTCAATATGAAATGAATGATCAGAAATTGTGTGTATTGCAATTAACAATATGAAATAGGATATGCAAAACTTATTGGCTAGAGGGGGAAAGTGAAGAAAAGGTTCATTCACAAATAGAAACAATCATGATGTTGACAGTGACGGAAGAGAGGCAGAGGGGTACAGAGATTAGCAGATAGAGGGTAAGATGAAGGGAAAGAGAGGGTTCAGTGAGGATTTTATAAGATATAATAAACAGCATTGATCAGTTGTAATTAATGTTCTAAAACAAAATGAGTAATTAAATGAAAACCAATTTAAAAAAAAAAATAAAGGGAAGAGGGGAAGAACCATAGCACCAAGAAGAAAGCATAAATAAACACCAGTAAATTATCTGGTCACACAGGCAGGATTTTGCTCTGTATTCCATTTCCAAATTTTGTCCCCAAATTTTAATTAGATGTTGCGTCAATTCATTACAGTATCAAATGATAATAAATATTATAAAACAAAATGTCTATGAACAATTGATGAGCCACTGGAGCTGTGATGGCTTAGTGAAAAAGGATGTGTTGCCAATGTAAAGGTATATGGTTCAACCAGTCAAGATGGGCAGTCTTCTCCTGTGCAGTTTACTGCCTCTGAAAACCTGCTGGAGGGTCAGCTATGGGTCCGTTCTGACACAGTGGTACACAACAACACGTGATTGAATGAAATGCTAAATGGTTTGTAAAAAATTCACTCAATTTTTCAACAAATTTTGCCCCCAGAAAATCACCTCTGCCTCATCCTTGACGATCACAGGGCACTCTGTTGGGAGGTGTCCATAGGCCTGAAGGCATGTATCTGTAAACCACACAGATGCCAATTCCCTTGGCTGGAACCCCTGAAAGAGAAACTAGTCCCAGCTGTCCCTGACCCTCTGAGATACATACTGCAGAAGCTTCCTCCTGGTTGGGAAGCCTCTTTGAGAGATGGGCTCGAGAGGCTGGCCACCTCCCTAGGGCTGTGCCCCTCTTTTCAGGTCAGGGCTATCCAAAGGGTGTTGAGTGATTGCTGGGCGGGGGTGCTGGTGGAGCCACCATCCCTGACCTCCTGGCATTTCTTTGCCCTTGCAGGACTTAGGCATGGAGTCGACCTCGCTGGACGATGTGCTGTATCGCTATGCCAGCTTCCGGAACCTAGTGGACCCTATCACACACGACCTCATTATCAGCCTGGCGCGCTACATTCATTGCCCCAAGCCGGTAGGATGGCTACTGGTCTGGGCCAGGTGGGGCCCTGTGGGTTTGAGATGGGTGCCCTCCTGGGCAGAGCAGCTCAGTGTTGGGGGTGGGGTGGGGATGGATTCTGCCCAGCCAAAGGGCTCACCTCTGTCTTGGACTGAGGCTGATAACGATGGCAGCAGTCACACACTGAAATCAGCAGCACAGACGGCCCGCAGTGTCCTGTTATGTGCCGTTGGGTCGACTACTACTCATAGCTACCCTCTGAACAACAGATTGAGACCTATCCTGTCCCACGTTCATGAACTTCGTGCTCCAGTCCACTGCTGAATCACCGCAATAGTCCATCTTGAGGATCTTCCTCTTCTTTCTAGCCCTCTACTCTTTCCCAATATAATGTCTTTTTGCAATAACCGGCCCCCCTGACAACATGTCCAAAGTTTGTGAGACCAGATTTCACCATCCTTGCCTCTGAGGAGCACTCTGGTTGCACTTCTTCCCATACAGGCTTGTGTGTTGTTTGGCAGTCCTTGTGGGTATTCTGTACTCTTCTCCAACTCCTCAAAGGCATCCATTCTTCCTCTCTCCTCCTTATCCTGTCCAACTTCAGATACACACAAAGTAATTAAAAAGGCCGTGGCTTGGATCAGGCATACCTTCGTCTTTAAACTGACACCCTTGTTCTTTGGTGCTTTGGAGAGACCTTTGAAAGCAGATTTTCCCGATGGATAGGTGGCCCGTTGTTGTTGTTATGTGCCATCGAGTCGTTTGCGACTCATAGCGACCCTATGCACAACAGCCCTAAACCCTGCTCTATCCTGCGCCAACCGCACTG